GGGGGGGGTGGGGAGTACAGAAAGTTTAGGACATATGTAAGGGTTTTCTGAATTTACTTGTAAATATTTTCCCTGATAAATAAAAGTCTAATTACCAAAAAAAAAAAAATTATTTTCTCATTTAAATAGCATAATATAACTATATAACTCCTTAATCTAATTCATATTCAAAGAAGAAAAACTTAAAATTTTAATTTTAATTCCTTATTTGTCAAGATCTAATAACAATTATCAATATTAAGTATAAAGAAACTTCGTTGCACCCTATTTAACAATATTTTTTTGATTTAATGAGAATATTAAGGTAAAATTTATCATGTTACGTATGATAAATCCAATCAAAAGTACTATATTATCGATTCAAATGACATAAATGAGTTTGGATATAATGATGAACAAGAATACTTAAAATGAAAAAATTTACAAAGAATGAGTAAGAACTAATCTATACTTATATTTACTATATTAAAAGCACGAAGGACCTGAGCGAAATATCGTTCGTCATTTTTACCCTTTAAAAATTAATTTCACATTGGACAAATATGTAATTTAAGTTAGTTTCTTAATATTTAGGACTTTAAAATCAAGTAACTCACGGGTCATCCCAAGTAGAGACAGCTTCAAGTACCTTGGTTCGGTTATCCAGGGAGGACGGGAGATCGACGAGGATGTCACACACCGTATTGGGGTAGGATGGATGAAGTGGAGGTTAGCATCTGGAGTCCTGTGTGACAAGATAATGCCACCGTCACTCAAAGGTAAGTTCTATAAAGCGGTGGTTAGACCGGCCATGATGTATAGGGCTGAGTGTTGGCCTGTTAAGAACTCACATATCCAGAAGATGAGAGTAGCAGAAATGAGGATGTTGAGGTGGATGCGCGGGCACACTATGATGGATAAGATTAGGAATGATGATATTTGGGAGAAGGTGCACGTCGCTCCCATTGATGACAAGATGCGGGAAGCGAGACTCAGATGGTTCGGGCATGTTCAGAGGAGAAGCCAACATGCGCCGGTACGGAGGTTGTGAGCGTCTGGTTGTGGAGGGCGAGAGGAGAGGTAGAGGGCGGCCTAAGAAGTATTGGGGAGAGGTGATCATGCAGGATATGGCGAGACTTCAGATTTCCGAGGACATGACACTTGATAGGAAGAAGTGGAGGTCGAGTATTGGGGTTGTAGATTAGGATGTAATTGAGTATTGCCTTTCTCCGTACCATTGTGGGACTAGTATGGTAGGGTTTTTTGGTCATAAATAGCTAGTGACAATGTTGTCTCTTACTATTTTCGCTTTCGAGTGCATGACTTATTTACTAGCCATCGCTTTCGCTTTTGCTTTGCATCTTTCTTCTGGATTTTATGTTGTTCCTACTTTTCCTATGATTTCTCTGGTGATACTAATAGTGTCTCCTTTTGTTCTTTGTCTTGAGCTGAGGGTCTTTTGGAAACAGCCTCCCTACTCTTGCGGGGTAGGGGTAAGGTCTGCGTACACACTACCCTCACCAGACCTTATTAGTGGGATTTTACTGGGTTGTTGTTGTTCTAAAATATTAATTATTACCGAATATTTAGGAGTTCTAAATCAACTAAACAAGGATAAAATATATTAACAAAAAAGAAGAGAATATAAAAAGTAAAAGGTAAGTTTCTTTTCAATGAAGGACAAAAAATATTTTATAATTTTCGTGTAAATATTTGTGCCAATATCGTACAAGGAAAACTTTATCGTGCAAGTTCAATTTTAATCCTTTATTTTACTTTTCATGCAATATTTCTTGGTTGTTAAAATTATATTTTATTAAATTGTTTCAAAACTATAATTATTCACGTGTTAATCTTCTTAATATTTACTTATTTAGGATTTGAAAATTAATTTTATTTTTCAAATATGTATTATTTGAACCATGTCAGAAGTCTTAATATATAAAATTTAAAATCAATTAAAATTTTAATCATCTTTTACAAATTATTTCCTTAAGCAATTATTTAAATTTTGACATAAATTGCTATTTTTTAATAATTTGTTCTTCTTACGTATATATTTAATAATTGACGCACTATACACGTGCAACGCACGTACACTAAAACTAGTATATATATAAGAATAAAATAAGATTAATAAGTTCAGACAGTTTCAAACATATAAGCATTTTTTAAAAAACCAAATTATAAAGAAATCGTGACATGAAATAAAAAAGAGAATAATAAATTAAAGTTTTATATGCTGTCCTCCTTTCGAGTTATCCTTTTAATAAATTTATATAATAGCTAAATTGTTTAGAAAATCGGAAAAAGGACAAATTAAAAAGGTAAGGGAATTCTTTTCTCGTTTTCAACCCCTATTTTCTTGGTGGATCTTCCAACAATAACTCTTAAATTCCAACCACAAACAAGTAGCAAAACGACATAGTTTCATACTTAAATCCAGGACAATATTGTCATTTCATCGTATTACATCCACTAAGGGTCAACGGACTCCAAACCAGATTCAAATGCAGCCAAATGCAAATAACAAAAAAGAAAAAGAATACAAACGCATAACAAGGAGAATGAGGAGAGCTAAATTCATAGAAGACAATTAAGCTAAAAATAATCAGCAAATATATAATTGTATATAATTAATATATAATTTACGTATATCAACTAAAAATTCAGAAGACTATTTGTATGAAAGATTCCAAATTCATACCTCTTAGGATGCGATTTTTTTTTGAACTATGTGTGAACACGAAATACCTCGTACATTGAACTGTTTTTAACCCAAACTCATAAGGCCATATAATTATTATTTTTGTCCCCTACCTTTCTTTTGTGGGTTTCTTTAGTATTTTCAAGAGAGAGAAATAGCCATTCATTTACAAATTAATTAGGAACATAAAAATATAACATATTAATTTGAGTTACATATATATAGTAATGTCAAGATTCATTTAGGAAAAAAGATAAATAAATACATTTGAAAAAATTATTGTTTTTGGAGAAACACCTTGAATAGTACTTAATAGTCTTTGAGGTTTTTTGAGTTTGCTAAAGTATTAGGAATACTAGTAAAGATGACGTTCTTTTTAGTTAAAAAAAAATGTACCTCAAGAGCCAAGGGTTTTTGTCCATAATTAATTCTCTTCTAGCAATAATTGTTGAAAGAAAAAATAATCAAAGAATTTTATTTATTCAGAAATTAATCACCTTCGTAAATATTTTTGAACTTTTAAATATAAAAAGAGTATGCTATAACGAGCTTTCAAGAGTATGATAAAACCACCAAGGATGTGGTGCAGCGGATGGGGCTGCTCTTCTCTTACCAGAGGTCTCGAGTTCTAACCATGGGTATGGAAAAAACTTTGGCAGGGAGCGCTTGCCCAGAATGGGACCCTACATAGCGCGAATCAGGTATAGTCGGACTCCAATGTGGGTACCGGATATCGATTGAGAAACAAAAAAAAGAGAGTATGGTATAAATGGATTTTTTCTTTTCTTTTTCACCCGATATTCGATGCCAATATTGGAACCGACTAAATCTGTATTACCAACGTAAAATCCGACATTGAGAGCAAATCAATCCTTGAAAACTTCATAGCCAAAACTCGAAATTAATTATAGATACTAGAAGTATAGATATCTTTTACATAATGAATATAATTTAATATTAATTCTTATTTATCGAATTATAAGTCACAAATACATGTAATTTTTTTATAAATAATTTGACAATAAAAATATTTTTTATACCATCAATGTATAACTTATTTTTTACTTTTTATTTTTATAAACAGTCTCTTGCAGAAATGTAGGGTGAGGCTGCGCAGGATAAATTTTTATGGTCCGGCTCTTCCCTGCACCCTACGCATAGCAGGAGGTTAGTGCAGTGGGCTATCCTTTTTATTTTTGATGCGATATAATACTTATCATAAATTTTTATTTATAATTATCTTATAAATAATATGATTTATATAAATATTTTTACCTTATCAGTGTTAAGAACTTACCTTTTTATTCCCTTTTTTATTATTTTTGGCATGATCCAATATTATGAACAATTTCTTAAATAACTTTATCTTGTCCTTTTCCTTTTTCATATGTTTTTGGTGTTGTGTTTCAATTATATAGATTCAGATACTTTCTGAGTTCTTCCTCTCTCTCTCTCTCTCTCCCTCCTTTGGGCCAATTTTAGTTCTGGGTTTCTTTCCCTCTCTGTCTCTCTCTCTCTCTCTCTGACAAAAGGAAGTGAAAGTGTAGAAGTAAACAATTCCTCTGCTTTTTTACCAAAACTGTTCCTTATTTTCTTCTTCTTTGTTGCTCCCTCACCTCTTGGGGACTTCTATTTTTTCTCTCTCTATTTTTTGTTTTTGTTTTTTTGGTAGTGTGCGATCTTCCTAATTTTTGTCCACTTGCTAGTACCCTTCTATGAGGTAATCCCTTTTTTGGCTTTTTTATTACTGTTAAATATTTCTATTTTTGGAAAATTTTAAGTGGGTATTCAAGTTCTTGCTTTAATTCATTGAATTTCGTGTGTTTATGTGTCTGATTATGTTATTCTGTAAAAATTGTGTAATCTTTTTTTGGGTTTAGGCTAATTTTAGTGTACAGGTATTAATGTTGAAATTAATTTCTTTTAGTGTTTCTTTCTGAGTTTGCTTTTGTGCTTTGATTAGTATCAATGTTTTTATTTTTGGAAATTTTTAAGTGGGTGTTTAAGTTCTTGCTTTAATTCATTGAATTTCGTGTTTTTTTTTATGTGGCTGATTGTGTTATTCTTGAATTTTAATGTAAAAAGTTGTAATCTTCTTGGGTGTTTAAGTTGTTTAGTGTTTCTTTGTGACTTTGCTTCTGGGGTTTGATTAGTTTCAGTAATTATGACAGTTAATTGTTTCTATATTTGGAAATTTTAAGTGGGTATTCAATTTCTTGCTTAAATTCATTAAATTTCTTGTGTTTGGTTGGCCTACTGTGTTATTCTTGAATTATAGTGTAAAAAGTTTTAATCTTTTTTGGGTTTCAGCTAATTTCAGTTAACATTGGAGGTAATAATGTTGGACTAATTATTTATTATGTCAGTTAAATCTTTCTATTTGTGGAATTTTTGGGTGGAGTTGAGTTCTTGCTTAAATATATTCAATTTCATGTTTCGGTGTGGCCAATTGTGTTGTGCTTTGCTTCTAGTTGTAAAAAGTTGTAATTTTTACTGTGTTTTGGTTAATGTTAGTTTACATAGGAGGTAATAATGTTTAAATTAATTGTTTGTTTGGTGTTTCTTTCTGAGTTTGCTTTTGTGCTTTGATTAGTTTTAGTAATTATGACACTTAAATGTTTCTATTTTTGGAAATTTTAAGTGGGTTTTCAAGTTGTTGCTTAGATTCAATAAGTTTCGTGTATTTATGTAGCTGATTGTGTTTTTAGTTGTAGAAAGCTGTAATCTTGGAGGTAATAATGTTGAAATCGATTGTTTGTTTAGTGTTTCTTTGTGACTTTTCTTATGTGATTTGATGAAATTCAGTGTTTTAAAATTCTTGTAAGGTTGACTAGCAAATAAAGTAAATTCAAGAACTTAACGTGCTTATGGGGTTTGATTAAGTTAAGTAGATTTTTGGTTAGGGGTAGGTTTGACTTGTAAGAAAAATAAATTCCAAGAGCTGATCCTTTCCTCTCTTTTTTGGGGTCTAAAATTGTTTCAGTTCTGTTGTGGGTTTCCCAAAGCATTGAACTTAAGTTAAGAATTAGTAGCTGAGATTTTTATTAGTGTTGTCATTACTTATATGGCTATGTTGATAACGATATTTGGTAATTCGGGGTTTCGGTTGATTTCAGTTGACAAGGGAGGCAATAATGTTGAAGTCAATTGTGTTTCTAGTGTTTACTAATCAATAATATGCCTAATTGCAAGTTTTGGAACTCTTAATGCTATTTATACTAATTATTCATGCCGGTTTTTACTTGCTTTGGAACTTCTGAGAACTGATTTTGTTTGTTAACTCATATATGTCCAAAGACCTTTGGGTTAACTTGATGTGAACGTCTCACTTTCTCCTACAAAGACTAATATTTACTTTTTTTTCTCCCGGTCTTTGGGTTCTAAAGCACAATACTTTCTCCCATATATAACTGGTCAAAAAGACCTTTCTTAATATGTAGCTCTTCTATATAAGTTCATATACATATGCGTTACAAGATTTGCTTACTTCTGCTCCTTGCCAACTATCTTAGTTCTCTTTGTATGTATATTATGTGTTATATCGCTTGCCTTGCCAAGTTTACTGAAGGAGTTCTATCTGATATTATTAGGCAAATCGCAATGTATAGCACTTAATATTTTAGTTCTAGGTACTTACCCTTTTTGGATCATGCTTCTCATGGCATTATATTTCTAAATCATAATTGCAGGAATTGACTAGATGGAGAAGCCGTTAAAGAAACCTATGTCAGAAGAATCTGAAGGTAAAACTGTTTTTTTCTTTAAGCTTATGAAAAGTATATGCCATTTTGGCACAATTTTGTTATGCTTTCGATGAATTCACATGTTTCATTGTTTTATGATCTGAATAGCTGCTTCAGCAAAGACTTCTTGTAAAGAGAAGAACGCGTGGGCTATTCCCCTTGGATCTGCTGCGTATCATGCATCAGCTGATACAAGCTTGTTTTCAAGCTCACTGCCTGTGCTGCCACATGCGAAACGTGAGTATAATCTTATTTTCAATAGTCTTTGTGTCCTTCAATTAAGATCAAATCCTTTTTAACTGGTTTTGCTGATGTGCAGTAAACTTCAATGAGTCTGAGAACTATGGTCAATCCGTTGACGATAACTCACCTAGCTTAAGCAAGCATCAATTGGAAGATAAAATTAAAGATCAGTTAGAAGAGGTTGAGCAAATTCCAGTCGGGTTCTTGCTTCCGGGGGATGAAGACGAGCTACTGGCAGGCTTAATGGATGATTTTGATCTTAGTGGATTACCGACGCAGGTGGAGGATTTGGACGATGATTTTTTTGGCAGTGGAGGACTCGAAATGGAACCTGAGGATCAAAATAATTTACTTAACGGTTTTGCAAACTTAAGCATGTCTTATAGTTATCCAAATGGTGCTGCAACTGTTGTCGGGGAGCACCCATATGGAGAGCATCCGTCAAGGACATTATTCGTTCGAAATATTAACAGCAACGTAGAGGACTCAGAGTTGAAATCTCTCTTTGAAGTAATGCTTAACTTACCAGTCTCTTTAAATTGCCTCTGTTAATTAGCTATCCCTTTTCCGTACTTCCTTTATTGCAGCTGAAATGCTTGTTTCTCATTTTGTTTGTGCAAGCGATATTTTCTTTCGGACGGCTTCATATGCTTGAACATTGTTCCCATATATAATTCTCCCTTCGTTGCAAAAAGAATTAACCTATTACAATTTGGGAGTCGAACAAAGTTTTCTTTGACCACGCTTTTTTTCAAATAGTTTTAAAATATTTTGAATTATTAACTATTGTGACTTATAGTAGTTTTATGTTTCTAACTATGTAAATTTTATTTAAAAAAACTTAAAGAATCTGTCCGAGTTCGCACTGAAAATTAGTCAATTTGACCTCGTACTCCGAAAAGGTTCAAACAAATTGAAACGAAGGGAGTGTATCAAATTGAAGCAAATCTGATCTGCTACTTTAGCTTCTCTATGACATTCATCCGATGCTTCCATTTGTAGAGCTTGTTCCCTGTGTTCTTTTTCCGTGTCCCACTGCTTAATATTTTGTCTTATTAATTTCAAAGAGTGTTTGCACTTCATTTGTCACTAGAGTCCTTGATCTATATTGATTCTGATAGGAGACTTCTAACCTAGTACTTACCTTTTTTTGAAGCAATTTGGTGATATCAGAACTCTATATACTGCATGCAAGCATAGGGGCTTTGTGATGATATCTTACTATGATATTCGGGCTGCTCGAACTGCAATGCGTGCACTACAAAATAAGCCCTTGAGACGAAGAAAGCTAGACATTCATTTTTCCATTCCTAAGGTTTGAATCCACATCATGTAGACGTACGCCGACATGTAAGGACAATTCTAACTATTTTTCTTTATTGCCGCATCCAGGAAAATCCATCAGAGAAAGATGTTAACCAAGGAACTCTTGTAGTGTTCAACTTGGATCCATCGGTGTCCAATGAGGATCTTCGGCAAATATTTGGGGCGTATGGTGAAGTCAAGGAGGTATCAATTTTACTTAATTGTTCACCGTTACTGCTATATTACTTTGATGTTTTTGTGTTTATCCGCAATTTTAAACTTTTAAGATTCATTAGTTCATGTTGTATGCAAATTGCAGATCAGGGAAACACCACATAAACGCCATCATAAGTTCATTGAATTCTACGATGTCAGAGCAGCGGACGCAGCTCTTAAAGCATTAAATCGTAGCGACATAGCTGGAAAGCGGATAAAGCTTGAACCCAGCCGACCTGGTGGAGCCCGTAGAAAGTATGTTCTACTTCTGCTTTGAAGAACTTACCTTTGTGTTCACCTTCGGGTGTAGCTTTGCAATGAAATTTATAAGCTAGGTGTTTTGCCCCAATTTACAAGTGCTTATGTTTAGACATAAATGAGAAAAGTAAACTTAAATGCAAAAGAGAAAAAGAAAGTAAAGAGAGAAAGATAATCTCTCTGTTAGTAGCCTGGAACAGCACTGCTTACCGACTATCAAAGTATTGCTGCAAAAGTGGAATTCTGCTGCAAATATGTCCGGATTATGCTTATGTTTCTGTTTCAAGTATTGTAGGGTTTTAATTGCATCCTTCACCAAATCTTATACCGTCACTAGGTTGTAGCCTAATAATTCTATGGATGAGTTATGTCAGATGTCAATGCTGCAGCCACATAGTTTGCTTTCCCCTGTATATATAGTACTAGCACGGGTGAAAAATATAATTTTTTACTAGTAGAATGTATTACAGACTGTTGGCAAGGTTTCTATTACTTAAAAATCATGCTCACCTCTCTATGTGGGTATTTTGCAGTTGTCTTTGTCTACCGCGGGGTGGTGGGGGGGTAG